AAAAAAAAAAAAAAAAAAAAAAAAAAAGACAAGGGCTGAGGCAAAAGGAACACAGCTGTCAGTACACACAGCTGGCTCTACCGTGACCCAAAACACTCCCAAAGGCTCACCCAACTGTTAGAATGAAAAAGCGAGGCTGATGAGTACAAGGTGAGATGCAGAATTCTATTAAATTTCTACACACAAGCAATAAAAAGATAAAAACCAAAATTGTGGGGAAAGGACAGTCCTTCCCCGCAGATTTCTTGCCGACTTCCCTGGCCCCAGGCTCCATCCAGAAGGGTGGACTCCCACAAATGTAAAAGGGAACAGTGGAACTCTGACCAGCTTGCAGTGGGCTAGGATGGCCAAGTAAAACCCAGCCAGCCTTAAAGTTTAAAAAATAAAGAGATAAGCTGTACCAAGAATTGTGTTTGGGCCGGGGATTTAACTCAGTGGCACTGAAAATAACTTGCAAGCGCAAGGTCCTGAGTTCGATTCCTGGTCAAAAAATGTTTATGTTTATCAAGACACAAGTCCAGCACAGCAGAGCACACCCGGAAACCGAGCTACCAGGGGGGCTGGGGTGGGAGAGTCACAAATTTGAGGCCACCCTGGGCAATTCAGGGGGAGAGCAAAAGTTCAGCATGTGCCAGGCCCTGGGATCAATCCTCACTACGGGAAGAAAGGGGCGGGGACAGAAGAGGCAGCCACAGAACAGGAGAAGGTATGTGTAGTGCATCAGCTCGATAAAGATTCAGGTCTGCAATCTGTAAAGAGTTTCTACCTAACATTAAGGAAAAGAGATACCACATAAAAATGCAGACAAAGACCTGAACAGAAACCCCAGGAAGGAAGACATCCAAATGCCCTGTAAATGTGGGAATGTTTTCCTTGACTCTGTTAAGCATCAGAGAAATGTGAATTAAGACCAGACAGCAAGACAGCTGTGGCCCTCGACCCTGGCTGGAACCCCAGAGATGTGGGGACCCAGGGCAGCAGTCAGGACTCACAGCCCACTAGGAAAGCTCGAAGTTCCAGCTGACACTGCAGGCCCGCGCACTCCGGCCCCGGGTACACGCCCCAGAGGAGCTAGAGCGCGGGCAAGATGGCACATGCTGGCAGAGTCACAGCAACCCTGCCTGTCCCAGCCCGCAGGAAGCTGTCCGGGTGACCGTCCACTGTGAACCAGGTCACAGCCACAAGGATGACAACCTAAATCACTCCCGGAGAGCTGGACACAACTCACCAATGCAATGCTCAGAGCAGAGCCAGACCCCAGAGCCATCGCTCGACTTGTTTGGAAGCCTGGGTGGAGGGGGCCCTGGAGGAGGGAGGACCTTGGGGTGATGAGGGCCTGGGGTTGGCAGCCCCAGGTCTGGGTGCTATTACACGAGTGTGCACTCGGTGTGAGCACAAAGCCAGCCACACACTCAGGGTACAAGCCTTTCTCTGCATCTGTCTTACTTCAACAGCACATTAAACCACAGACAAGAGAATTAGAGGTGAACTTTAGCGAAGCTGAAATAATAGAAATAGAAGCTATTTTTAGATACCAGCCGACTCTCCTAAAGGTGCAGACAGATGGGTATTTCTACGAACCAAAGTGATAGATCCACATCTCCCCAAGGCGTCTGCAGAACTGACTCAAAGCAGGCCCCCTAAAGACTCCAAGCCTCAGGGGGACAGCAGGCATGGCAGGAGGGAAGGGAGAGCACGTGTGGGTGGGAGGAGGAAGGAGCCCAGAGACAGAGGGAGAAGCAGCCAGGGAACCCGAGGCCAAAGCACTGTGGCAGGAACAGCAGAGCAGGGTGAACTTGGAAGGGCAGCAGGCGGTAGACCCTGGGTACCATGGGATGAAAGGGAAATGCAAGCCAAACCCTCCCACCTTGCCCTAGCAGCTGCTTGAAGCTGACAGAGGGGACTCCTTCTGCAAATAGCAAATACATCAGTGTTCGCTGTTTGGACACACCCTGGAGACCCAAGCCCAGGCCGCCCCTGCGTCCTTACAGTCCACTTCGGTTGTAACCAGACACCACACGACAGTGCTGCAGGCACAAAACCACCGCGCCTGCTGTTTCTGGGTGACAGCACCTCACCACTTAGCACACAGCAGCAGGCTCTGGCCCAGGGCACAGGCAGACACCCTGGCAGCTGGGAGGTAACCCCTCCACCGTCCAGTCCAATCCCCACACTCAGCCCCAACCTGGCAGGTGTCGCCATCCAGCTTACAAGGCTCAAGAGGGGGTGACGTGCCTTGGGCCGATGCTGAGGGTGAGGGGCTCCCCACCATGCCTGGCTGTGCAGCCCATTATCCACTAATTGGGAAATTGATTTTTATTTATTATGTATATTTTGGCTTTTTTGAGACAGGGCCTCACTCTGTAGTCTAGGCTGGCCTTGAAGTCACTGTGGAGCCCAGGCTGGCCTTCAACTTAGTGATCCTCCTGCCTCGGCCTCCCAAAGGCTGGGATTACATTAGGGTTACCCTGCGCCCAACTTAGTAAATTTAGAAAAAGTAAAACTGACTGTTCTCAGATCCTGGGCCCCTCTCATTCCAGAGGGCACATACTCAGCTTTGCCAGCAGCTCCCGCAGGGTCTGCAGCCATCGGTGACACAGCTGCTCGTCCGAGCTCCAGAAGGTCACCTGCGCCCACTTCCAGCGGTGATGCCGGGCCCGCTTCACACAGTGCACTGGAGGAGACCAAGGCGTTAGTAAGGCTACGGCCAGCGCCAAACCCCAGGCAGGCCAGCAGAGGCTCACGACCATGCATCTCCCAGCACCCTCTCTCTCTCTCTGGTGGTACTGGGGATTGAACCCAGGATCAGGCACTGAGCTGCACCCCTGGACCTTTTCACAATTATGTGATCAAATTTTGAGATAGAGTCTCACTAAGTTGCTCTAAGGCAATTCCAACCCTCCTGCTTCAGCCTCCCAGAATGATGGGATCATAGATATGTGCCACCGTGCTTGGCTGGGTTCTCTCCTACAAAAACCATGCTATTTCTCAGATACTTTAAGCCGTATTTTAAAAATTAAGAAAAAAAATCTCAACAACAAAAATATTAACTACAAGTAGATCTTAGAAAGATTTCATAAACCACTGCACCTGTCAAAATGTGGCGAAAAGTCCCCATCCCTGCCATCTAAACAGAACGACAGGAAAAAGAGGCGGAAGAGGATGCGTCATCACCTGTGAACGCAAAAGGCTTCTCCATTCTCTGCCAGCGGCCACTGGTGTAGTGCTTCCCCTGAGCCTCGGTCTCCTCCACTGTGATGATCTCAGACACAGGCACGGAGCAGGCATCTGCAAGAAGACCACAGCCATGCCAAGGGCATCAGAATCCACACGGGCACACCCACAACCAAAGGCTGAGAACAGGTTGCTGTAAAATTCTCACCAGCCCCAAAGAGCTGAAGACCTCGTATTACAGTGATCCATGCACACCCACGTTTATAGCAGCACAACTCACAACAGCTAAATCTTGGAAGCAGCCTAGATGCCCAACAGATGGATGGATAAAGAAAATGGGGTATAGGCCAGATGTGGTGGTGCACACCTGTAATCCCAGCACTCGGGAGGCTGAGGCAGGAGGATCGCTGTGAGTTTGAGACCAGCCTGGGCTACATAGTGAGTTCCAGGTCAGTCTCAACCATATAGTGAGACCCTGTCTCAAAAGAAAAAAAAAAAAAGAAAGAAAGAAAGAAAAGAAAAGAAAAGAAAATGTGGTATTTACATGAAATGGAGTACTACTCTGCCATAAAGGACAAACTAGTACAGGTACAAATTCCCTATGGCAAATGTGATCATATGTACATATAAAAAGAAAACTTGACTCATTTGCAGGAACACGGATGCACCTGGAGGCCACAGTGTCAAGTGAAGTAACACAGCTTAAATGTCACGTGGTTCTCTTATATAAGAAACCCCAGTGTAAGCCAAAAGCAAACTAGAAGAGATAATAGGAGATGGGTTGTCCCCAAACGGGAAGGGGACCAAGAGATGGAAGGCGCATGGAGGGAGGCGAAGGGAAGGGGATGTAGAAAGAACTAAGATGCATTACATGCACGTCAACCCCACACGAGGAATGTGGTCATTATGTACTACAAGCACGTACTAACAAAAATTAAAATTAAAAAAGAAAGGGGCTGGGGATTTGGCTCAGTGGTTCTGCTGCCTGCCTCACAAGCGCAAGGGCCTGAGTTCAATCTCTGGTACCAAAAAAAAAAAAAAAAAAATTAAAAAAGAAAGTAAGATTTTAAAACACCTTCTCACTGGAAACTCCTGAGCAGGAAGAAAGGTCACTCAGTCTCACTCCGACCCAGTGCTGGGGGGACTGAGCCCAGGATCTCCTCCATCTGGGAAAGCACCCCGCCACCGCGCCAGTCCTCAGCTTGTGTCACTTCTTAATCCAGAGCAAAGCATCCTGGGAGGCTCCCTGGCGTCAGTCGGGCCATTCTGCCCATTCCGCCATGTGCGGCACACCAGCAGCAGGCGCAGACTTTCCCGGGCCACCCTCTGTGACATGTCTGAGACGCGGCATCTGTCCTAGGGGCCACATCTGGCTTAGAAATCCAACCGGGAAGGAGACACAAACAGAACGCAGGACTCTAGGGTGGCCAGGGTCACGGGTGTAAGTGGGAGCGCCCAAGGAGGAGCATTGGGAAGCTGGGGGCCGACCCGTTGGTGCAGGGGGAAGAAGGGCAGCCTTGGGGTGCCCTAGGGGTGACAGCGTGGACATTCCCAACACCAAGACCAAGAGGAGTCCAGGCTCGCCCAGGCACGCAGTGATTACAGGGCCACAGGGGCTGGGAGCCCAGTTCTCAGAGACAGGTTGTGACTAAGCCAGGGCCTGAAAGCATGTGCTGGGGGCAGAATGAAGGAGCAAGGCCTCCTTGAACAGGCTGGATTCCAAAGCTTTGCTGAAAATTGGTTCAGGATTTACAATGTATTTTTGCATAAAACAACATTATAATTTGTGGTTAGTTTCCCAGGTTGGCTATGAAACCTACAATCTAACTAAAACGCTGTGTCTTCGTGGATCCAAATGGATAAACCATGCTGCTATAGCGTGTGCCTTCATTTTGCATCAGTTGTAAAGCTGTTGCCCGCAGAAATCAAGTTGTAAGAACCCAAGCAGGGGTCGAGCTGGGCTTCTGGCTGCCTCGAGAGGCCCTGAAAAGATGACAGGTTCTGGGTTGCCCAGGAGACTGACTTTGGGAACAGACAGGGGACAAATTCAGGCCGGAAGGGCAGGACTCTGGGAAGGGTCTGAGCAGCCTTCTCGGGGTACAGGGTGGCCTCTGCTTCCCCCGGGAGGTCCCCAATGTGCAATTTCCAAAATGGGCCCCCTGCCAGGCATCCGCCTGCCCCCACAGCTCTCGATGTGGCTCTTCTCTTCCATACCTCACTCCTTAGCACCCTGTGTCTGGAGCTGCACCCGCCTTAAGCCCCTGCATCAATGAGACCCTGGGCCCAAACCCTGTAACTGCACAAGACCCTTTCCCATCGTTTGCTCCAAAGCCAGGAGCCAACAGAAGGCGTCTGTAGGTCTCAGCGCCAAGCCCAGGGCCAGGCTCCCAGGAGGCCACTGTGCTCCCTTCCAGGCGTGTCCCACTCCTGGCCTGCAACTACTTATCCCTTCCTCTAATCTTATAACAAAGAAGAAAAAACTAAAGGGAGCTATGCTGCACAATAAACTACAGCACACGTTTTACACGTGCACCGAGACACAGCCCGGGTAAGCCAAGAAGCAGGACACAGCCGCAACTGAGCGCAAACTTCAGGATGACCCTGCCTTGTGTCATCATCACCAGGACTATTCCCGAGACACGGGACAGAAGTTCCCAGTGCCTGGGAGCAAAGGGGAGAATGTAACCTTTCTCCACATCCCAACAATTCACCGATTACAACACTGAGAAACAGATAAAGAGGTATTAGCTAAGTACATGTTACAAATGACTCAAAGGAAAACCATGGAAAATCTACAAACGTGTAACTTCCAGTCTTGCAAAAGAGGACCGGCGGATGTGGAGGAGTGGCAGATGTGTCAGATGTCAAGCTGCACCACACACTGCGCTGGCCTAGCCTGAAGGCCACGCTGCACCGAGCCGGGCGGCCGGACAAAGTCACCACAGCCCAAGGGCTGCCCAGCTCACCGCTCCATAGGACCACAGCTCTGAAGATAGTTTCACAGGTGCCAACAACACCAGGGACCATTCGAGGTGGGTGGGGGCAGGAAATAAAGAAACAACGTCATGGATTGTCAAAAGGAAGGCAGAGAAGGGGCCCCCACAGAAGAGCAGAAAAGCGGTCCCCTGGTCAGGCAGGCAGGAAGGAGCGCTCTGTGTGAGGTGGAGGAAGGAGGAGCAAACCCAAGAGCAACGCCAGGGAGGTGACGGGGTGGGGCTCCGTGGAGTATGGGGAGCTCAGGAGGCACTTAGCAGAGGAGAGACTCGGGGAGCTGGGGTAGAGCCGGGTGACCAGGGACCACGCGTGACTCATCTCCCCATGATCCAGGGCCCGAGTCCTGCTCTGCCTCCATCTCTGTGACCCCTTCCCCAGGCGCACTCCCAGGCAGGCCTCTGGAATCACACTCAGGCTGGATGTGAGCGTCCTCTTCAGCACCAAGCCAGGCCCCTCAGCGTGGCCCCACCCACCCCCTCCTGGGCACTGCAGTGCCCCGCCCAGCCTGTGGGTCACCATGCCAGGGTACACCTTGCTCTGGGGACCAGCTCTGCGAATGCTGTTGCAGCCCTGACCTCATGGGGCCCGGACTCCTTGTGCCCAGCCCAAGGCAGCTCCAGGATCTTCTCACCCAACCCCAGCACCCACGCACAGCCCAACAAGGTACACGTTCAGAGGTGGCCTTGGCTGTTCTGTTCAGAGCCGTGTGGGTGTCCCCGATATCCCCTCACACCAAGGCCTGGCAGGCCCCAAATCCAGCCTGGCCTCCCCACTGCTGCCAAAGCTGGTCTCACGGCTCCCCACTCGCACAGGGCCTCACTGGGTAGATGCCACAGTCCACATTTTATGGGCTCCTCTCCTTTCATAGCAGAGGGGACAGCGCCCCCCCAGGCTGGGGGCAGGGAACAGGCTTTGGTACCACAGTTGCTAAGGGCTCAGCCCTGGTGAGGGAGAGACAATGGCGGGGTTTACTGCTGAAGGACCGAGGCTTTTCGCTCTGTAATTCATCGGAGGGGTCACTTCACCCGTGTCTGCACGCTTCACAGAGCAACGTTTCTTTATTGGTCTTCCCTTGTGGGGAAGGCAGCCGCTGGTCCTCATTCGCCTTGCAGATGGCCAAGCCGAACAAACTTGCTCTGCGTTTCGGGCTGTCCTTCACACTTCTCCCCCCAGTAAAACAATCCATGTTCAGAGCTAGTGGGGCACAGTGGTGCTCACCTGTAAGCCCAGCTCTGGGGGGCTAGAGTAGGAAGACGGCTCAAGATCGAGGTCAGACTGGGCTACATAGTGAGTTCAAGGCCAGCCTGAGCTACATAGTGAGACCCTGTCTCAAAAAGCCAAAGTAAGTAAATACAGGAGTGATACTACAAGTCTTAGGAATTTTTAAAAATGTTCTCAGGCAATAGTCCTTCCAAAACTGGACTGAACATGTGTGACCCGATCCCAGCTAAAGTTCTGGCACTTCTGCTGACAACCGAGGCTCTCCCGTGCTTCCTTCTCGCGTGGGTCTGCAGCTCTCTCCAGTGAAGCAGCAATCCAATGGCTACCACATTCCAGAAAAACCAGACACCCGCTGCCAGGCGAGGTGGGGCCTCTGGCTCTGGGTCAGCCCAAGTTTTCTGGAAGTCTTGGAAGAGGCTGTGGGCGACAGCAATTCGGTTGATGTTCACCTCTGCACCTGCCTTCCAGCTCTGTTCTGACCCTTCATGCCGTGGTGAACCCCATTCACCACTGTCTGGGCTCTGAGAGACTCCTGGACACACAGCTTTCCATGTGCCAAGCAGCAAAGTGTGTCGCGACACGGTGTACAGCGTGCATGTGGGCATGCACGCACGCGCGCGCGCACACACACACACACACACACACACAGAGGGAGGGTCGAGGTGCTGTGCCCTGCCACTCACCCAGGACTCCCACAGCCCCCTGCCTCTTGGGGATGTGTGGTCAGCACAAACACAAGTCCACAGTCAAAGGCACAAAGGTTGCTTGGTACTCTGCACAGTGGCGAGTCCCGAGGAGAGAGGGGTCAAAGGGATGGGGCAGGGAACTGCCCCACAGACCCGCTGGCAAGGTCCCTGTGTCACACAAAGGCTCCGGCTTCTTTCCCACAGAAGTAGGCAAGGCAGTGGGAGGGGCACCTCGACCTCTGCATTCCCAACCTGCACAGGCGCCCCAGCAACAACGGGCACCCCAGAGAGAGATCTCCCAAGAGATCTGGCCAGGGAGCCAGTCATAGTCTCCAGCAGTTAACATGACACAAACACATTTCCCTGGCAACTCAGAAGGAACACCGGACAGTCACTGAAATTACAGGTGAGCGCCTGCCTCTGAAGAGAGGAGAGAAACCACCACAGCCCACGGCTTCCCCTGGGAACCCCAAACATCCTGCAGGGAGGGAATGGGGAATGGTTAAACTGGCTTGTGCTCTCCTACACAATCCTCCAGCCACTGCATTGACACAGGAGGGAGAGGCCAAACTCCACCAGGTGTGATGGTCCAGCCCTGCCGCCACTGCTGTCTCCAGATGCAGTCCTGCAGCCTTGTGTCCCCTCCTTCATGAAAAGCCTGGCCTTTGATGACCCCACCATAAGGGTGACAGCAGCTTTTGATAATGCTCCAATGGGCTAGAAGGGGACCTGGGAGCCCAAAGTCAGGAAGATGCATGCTGGCCGTACCATCAATCCTGGGCTATGCTGCGGCCACAGGTTTTGGCACAGACAGTAGCAGGCTCCAGGATGGGCCTGGCTACCAGAGGCTTCACACTCCACTCCATTCCGGAGATGATGTCTTGGCTGTGACGTGTAGTGGCCCCTGGTGGGTACAACCTGGGGTCACCAGGCTCTGGTTTGCAGAGCACAGATGGCCAGCTGCAGGCCCTGGGCACCCTCTGCCATGAGCCTCCACGGCTTGTGAGAAGGGATATTGTAACTCAGGACCGAGAGGGAGACAGAGGAGGCACAAGAGAAAGAAGCTGCAGCCGGACAAAGGCCAACAAGCCTGGCCTCGTGGCCTCCTCACACCGTGGCCCTGCATTGCCAGTGACCCAGGAGGGCTTTGCTCCTGACCATCCGGGGACCCAGGAGGGTGTTCCCAGCTGCCCCCAGACCCTACCTGTTAGCTGGACATCTAAGAGCACCCGAGCAGCGGCACACCAGCACCCACCAGACCAGCTCTGAGTGAAAAAGCCAGGCAGAGACCCTGCTTCCACCACAGACTGGTCCAGGTTCTTGGGCTGGGCTTGGTGCCCGCACTTACAGCTGCCATGTGAGTTCAGAACAGGATAAAGGCCACAAGGAGAGCGCTTCCTTCTTGGGAAGGAAGGGCTTGCGTTGGGGAACAAAGGGCAGTTTGGAGACAAACACATCCAGGCAGTTCGTTTTCCACATGTTTCTTCCTACAGTGTAGATGTCATCTAAGGTAATTTTCCATGCCTAAAAATGTATCCAGGAAGTCGGGCACAGTGCCACATGCCTGTAATCCCAGCTAACTAGGATGCTGAGGCAGGAGGATTGAAAATTTGAGGGACAACACAGGAAAATTCAGTCTCAAAATAAAAAGGGTTGGGGATGTAGCCCAGTGCTCTCTGGGTATAATCCATAGTCCTGGACATAGTCATGGGGGACATAGCTTCCCCATAGTCCTGGGGGAAAAATGAAGCCAGGTCTTATGTCCCCGCAGAGTATAGGCATACCACAGAGAGCTGACGGGAAGGCCAGGGAACGGGAGGGGCCAGCATTATGTGAGCACCCATCACATGCCCGAGTCACTGTCCCAAGTGTGCGAGTTCTTGTCTTTTAAGAACTTTTCTTCCCACTGTATGGTGTCCATAGTTACCCGTGCCAGGCCTGAAAGTGGCCCAAAGCAGTGAAGCTAGCCCCAGGGCCTGTAGTCTGCAGGTTGCATTAGCTCCAGGAGAAGGTACCAGGCAGCACCAGTCCCCAGGTTGAAGCCAAAGTACCTGAGGCCATGTCCTCGCTGTTAAATGCTGGCTACAATTTAAAATGGGAAAAAATAAGAACCAAGATGGATTATGTAAAGGCACAAATTTCCAATGATGAATGCCATTTGTATACCTTAAATGTACCAATAAAATTAATTTTAAAAAATACATATCCAGAAGAAAAAAATAAACAAATAAAATGGGAAAGAAAAGCTCATGCAAATCAAAGAAATATCCGTGGTGCTAATTTAGCTGAGGATCCAATCCACAGCGTTTGGTGAGCTGGTCCAAAGTGGTTCTGAACAAGGGATTATGGCAAAAATCCCCGGACCCTCCTAATGGTCGTGTAGTCTAACACAAAGTTTAAAATGAGATCAGATTTTTTATCATATCATAGTAAACAAGCACACACAGCTCATCGCTTTGCCATGAGCCACTTGAAGTTAAAGGGCTGCCACCACTGAGGCCACAGGAAGAATGGCAAGTCCTATCACTGACCTACTGACCCATAACATAACCATTCCTGCTGGAAGTGACTGCTTCTCATTTAAAATTCTATAGCTGGACTGGGCATGGAGGAGCACATCTTTAATCCTAGCACTCCAGAGGCTGAGGCAGGAGGATCACTTGAGTTCAAGACCAGCCTGGGCTACATAGTGAGTTCCAGGTCAGTCTCTGCTACAGAGTGAGACCCTGTCTCAAAAAACAACAAGTAATAATAATAACAAATAAAAATAAAATAAAATTCTATAGCTGGGTAGGGTGACCCACACCCATAATCTAGGAACTCTGGGAGGCTGAGGCAGGAGGAGCACTCTGACTTGGGGTTAGCCAGGCCCCTCATTTGCAGGGAGCAGGGTCAGAGAAAACAGACGATATAGGAGGCTCCACAGGACCCCAAACCACAGGACACACTCTGAAGAGTCCAGGTTTCTATCCAGGATCAGTGAGAGCAGACACAGGGAAATACTCCCTCAGAGTTATGAAAGTCTGACGAGAATAAGGACCCAGCAAGTGTCAGCACAGGAGAAGGGCTCCACCGAGAAACAAACGAGGTAAGGAAGAACCACACAACAACTGAAGAACTGAGAAATACAACCACAATAAAAGCTGGGCTGTACTGGGGAGTGGAGGGTGACAGGGAAATCGAGCCTGGGAGATAGAGGGACAGAAAGCATCCGGTCTGGATGGCAGACAAAAAGGTGAGGAAAAACAATACACGAACCGAGCGTCCAGGATAAATAAGGTAAGCAAAGATCCAGAAGAGACAATCGATTTTCCTCCCTCCAGGATTTTTCCACATCATGCTTGAAGGTTGGAGATAAAATTATAACAGTGAGGGCTGGGGATTTAGCTGAGTGGTTCTGCCACCTACCTCACAAGCACAAGGTCTCGAGCTTGATTCCCCAGTATCCAAAACAAAACAAAAAGTTGTAACAGTGATATGCTTCTAAATGCACACATTTAGGGGAAATAATGCAGACAGTCGTATAAACAGTGCCACTAATGGAGACAGATAGAGCCACAGGCGGGCAGGAGCCGGTCTGACAGACCACCAAGAGCACTCAGAAACACGACGGCCAGGTGCCACAGCAAGACATGATTAGGGTGTTTCAACTACACAGGAAAGGGCCAGGGATTTAGCTCAGCGGTTCGGTGACCTGCCTTGCAAGCACAAGGACCTGAGTTCAATCCCCGTACCAAAAAACAAACAAACAAACAAAAAAACAACAACAACAACAAAAAAAAAACCCCAAAACCTACACAGGAAAATCAAGGCTAAATTCTAAAATATGTATATGTAAGTAACGTGCAGGGAGACAGGAAAAGAAAATAAGAAACAACAACAACAAAAAATAAACCTGACCTGGAACATATCAATATCCACATTGCAACGATTTAGGTTGGCACTGCTATGAGGAGCTCAGCTCAAACTTGATGGGGCCGGGGGCAGACTGAGAGCCAAAGAAAGCAGCTGGCCATGTGGATATGAGGAAAAAGTAGTTGAAGCAGGCCTTAGACCAAAGGAAACTGCAGACGAGGAGGAGGCCTGTGCTTCAGAAGACCAGGCATCCCCAGCATGAGCGGCTGCCATCAAAACATAACCGTGAATGTTTACATCTTCAAACTGCGCTACAGGAAGTGACACAGTGCGGTGAATCCCCCCCGTATGGGACGCACCCTTCACTGCAGACAATGATCCGTGGTCCTTGCCACTTGACGAAGCAGCCCTGGAGTCCTCTTTCCTGAGTGTCTTTAGTCCCACTGCTTGTGGGTGCCTCACTGAAATCCTCCATCCACTCAAAATGTCTCCCTTCTGTGGTCACTCTGACTTTGGGGAAGAGTCACGAGTCGCGCGACGCCTGATCTGACGAACAGGGCGGAGGAGGACACAGCGGAGTGCTGTCACGGGCCTGCCTTTCTGCCCGATGGTGCTGGGCAGCAGCACTCCGCACACTGTTCACCGCGTCTCCTCGCAAAAGGGGACCCCAGAACTGCTTCAGACAACGGCAAGAACGACGGGATCAGACCAAGGGGTACTGCGGGGAGGAGCTCATTGCAATGTGTCTTTTACTGTGATGAAAATTTTCATCATGTACTACAAACACACGTGTACATTTTTTTAATTTAAACATTTCACTGTATATTTTGATCATCCCTTGTGTACAGAACAAAAACCGAGAGATGTAAAAGGAAGAAGTAAACCCACAATTCCATTTGGACACTTGGACAACTGTCAGAAGAGCCAGGTCTGGGCACCAGCACTGAGCAGCAAGCAGCCCAGGAAACTCGCAGGGCCTCCTGCGATGGCAGCAGGACACACGTTCCCTTCGAGAGCTCTCAACGCACCCAGTCAGGATGCACTGCTCCACCCTGCTGCTCTTGTCCTTCAGCCAAATGCACACTCTGTTGATGTGAGTGGTCTGAATTTTTCCGATGACCGAGATTTTTTAGCCTTTTTTACTTTTTAGAAAGTCAAAACATAGCCATCTACATTAGCAGATTTTATATTCACATTATTACTCTTTCCTCACAAATAATGACTTAGAGTAGGGGTTGGCAAATTTAAATTCACAGCCCGAACCCAGGCAGCCACCCACTTCTGCAAATGAAGTTTTACTGGCACTCAGCCATGGCCATTTGTTTACAGATTATCCACAGAGCTGCCTGAACAATTAAATTGCATGGTTGAGTAACTATGACCCCAAAAGCCTTCGAGGGCTAAAGATACTGTGAGGTCCTTTAAGAGAATGTTTGTGCACGGACTTTAGAGTAACAAAAGTTAACATTGAAAGCAAGGCAGGATAGTTTCAAATTGCACAACGATGTTCAACAACTGCTCAATCTTGTGATCTCACAGTAAGGGAAATGCATTCAGAAATGATGCAGAACGGACTGCTGTCCCCAGGCCTCGAGGGGAAGCCAAGAATCCTTCCCTCCCTGTCACCATCTGCAGTCTGGACGGCGACTGTGTCTGAAACAGGTAGACGGAACACCAGTTTCCTCCACAGGTGTCCAAAAGTACACAAGCACACTCTGTATACATAGCACACTCTGTCCTCTGCTTTCTTGTAAGAATACACTTTTACACATAAATCTTTAATCCGCCTGACTATGGTTCCAACAAGCTTCTACTCCTAATCTTTAAAAAGGTGTATGTAAAGTTCATCTATAACACACAACTCAACGAGTAAGAATTATGTCTCCAAACATAGGCTCTTCTATTACCCAGCTTCTTCCTCTACATATCCATGCAAGGGAAATGAAAGCCAACGTCCCTAAAGGTCTACAGCCTCTGTGTGTGATTCAGCAGCACACATACTAAAATTGGAAGGACTACAGCCTCTTTACTCGCCAGCCTCAAACTGGAAACAGCCCAAAGTCCACCCACAGGTGAAGAGGGAGGGACACTAGAACACACACAATGCAATATTACTTTGTAACACACAAAAGGTGAGCCACCGTAAAAAAAAAAAAAAAAAACACTAAGAGAAGTAAAGCAGCCAGGCACAGAGTGGGCACAGTGTGGCTGCCCTGGATTAAGTGCGGATGGATGTGGGTAGAGTGGAACCCGCCCAGGGGACCCAATAAGGCAGGGACTGACCACACCAGGGAAGCCCTGGGATGCAGCCACTGCTCCTTACCTCAGCCTGGGTGATGCTTACACAGGCGCATGGTTATCAAAACCCACCCAGCTATGTTCTTAAAACACAGAGATTTTAATGCATGCAAATTAGGCCTCAGTAAAATTGCTCTTTTAAAAAAACACGGTTTAAAAGAGTAATTAACAGGGAAAACATTCTGCAGTGTATTTTCCCACCTTTCCTCTCACATATATTGACAGATACATCAAGTATCTATCACATCTCAAAGTGTAAGGCTAAGGGTAACTTTTTTATCTGTGTTCTAGAGCGTATTAAATCACCACGTTTTGTTGTTGTTTTTCAGTGGTTCGCAGGGTGGAGCCCAGGGCCTTACGCACACCAGGCAAGCG